AGGTAAAGGTCAGGGCATAAAGCAAGGCTTGTTTCAAAGGGTTTCTTACAAACACCTGGAGTAGACTTTAGTGAAACCTTTAGCCCAGTTATCAAGGCATCAACACTCAAGATTGTACTTACCCTTGTTGTCAGCAGAGATTCGGAAATCAAATAGGTTGATGTGAACAATGCGTTTCTGAATAGCAAGCTGGAAAAGGAAGTATATATCGATCAGCCTCAAGGCTTTGTGGATAAGAAAAAACCTGGTTTTGTGTGCAAGCTAGAGAAAGCACTCTATGGACTAAGGCAAGCCACAAGGGCATGGCATGAGGAGCTAAGAAAAACGTTGTTGTAGTGGAATTTTAGGCAATCAAGGGCTGATAACTCTTTGTTCTTCTTGATGGATGTACTTTTGTCACTAGTATACGTGAATGACATAATTGTGACAAGAAACAACAGCAAATAGATACAATCACTCATAGACAGGCTGAATAAGTGTTTTGCACTCAAGGATATGGGAGATCTAAATCAATTTTTGGGAATTAAAGTGAGAAGAACCAAAACGGGACTGCGTCTAACACAAACAAAATATGTAATTGACCAAATTAGGAAATTTGGCTATGAGAACTTGAAGCCAAGCCTTATACCCATGGCTGTTGGGAAACAAGTCTCAAAGGACGAAGAAGACTTAATGAAAGACCCGACACTCTATAGAAGTGCAATTCGTGGATTGCAATACTTAGCACACACAAGGCCAGACATCACTTATGCAGTGTATAAAATGAGTCAATTCCTTTAGTCACCCACAGATGTTCACCAGAAGATACTCAAGAGAATTTTTCAATACCTCAAAGGAACACTGTGCTATGGATTAGCCATCAGGAAAGGTGATAGCTTGGAATTGACAGCATTTACTGATTCAGACTGGGCTTTGTGCCCTGATGATAGAAGGTCCACTGCTGGGTATTGTGTATACTCTAGGGATAACCTTGTATCGTGGAGGTCCAAGAAACAGCAGGTGGTTGCCAAGTCCAGCACCGAGGTTGAATATAGAGCACTGGCTCACAGCGCAGCAGAAGTGACTTGGATACAATCCTTGTTTGAAGAGTTGATTATATCGTAGCAAATAGTTCCAAAGGTCTGGTATGACAATCTGAGTGCAAGTGCACTGGCCTCAAATTTGGTTTATCACGCTTGCACCAAGCATATCGAGTTGGATGTCCATTTTGTCAAAGACAAAGTTCTGATGAAACAACTAGAGATTTGCTATGTACCATATTCGGATCAAATTACAGATGTGTTGACAAAACCCCTTTCACATTCTAGATTTCTATTCTTTAGGGACAAGCTTGGAGTGGTCAAGACATACTCCACCTTGAGGGGGGTGTTAGAATAAACGAATCATCAGGTGGACCAAGGATATAGCCGTTGCTGGTAGCTGTACTGATTTCCTAGTGGACGTACTTCTTAAATTCAGGAGTGGAGAATATTTTTGTTACACACTTGGCAACCATGTATAGGTGATAGAATATAAGTTTGTTAAATGTTTTTTTCTTTGTACTGAACACTCGTCTATATAAGGAGAATGTAAAGAGGAAATCAAACGAGCTGAATATACAGATGAATTTCATTCTTTTACTTTTTTGACAAGCAGAGATTTATATTTAATGCTGGAGAAGTAAGCACTACTTGGTTTTAGTTCTTTACTTTAAAAGAAGGAAACTTTTCATTCTTTAAATTGTTGGCACTTGCAAGAATTTTTAGTGGAAATTTTGTAGTAAATGTAAAGAACCCTCGAAAACCTAAATTGAAAAACACTGGACGAAAGGCCCAAAAATCAGGAATATGAAAAAAGAGGGAAGGCAAAGTGCTGCCTCCAAAATATGCCAAGTTTATATCTTAAGAATACATTTTCTTTTTCACCCAAAAGAAATAAAAAAATATATAGGAAAGTAGAATGGGAAGAACCTATCATTCTTCAAAATTCATTCCTCTCTCAAATCATTGACTATATAGTACTATAGTAGGTGCAACTTAAGCAGAAGTTCATAGTAAGGTTTTTGGGTGAAATAATCTCATATAATAAGAGTTTATAAATGGGATATGAAACACCCCGAACTTGTGTGCATTTTAGGCTACAACCTTATTGAAAAGATGGGTAAGTTTGAGGACCTAAGTTTAAAGTTTCCATTCTTGAGGGACTTAAGTGCAAATATTGAATATATTTGTTTTCCTGGGAAAATAGTTAACTTAGCATGAATAATAACAATACAAATGTTATTATTTGTGGAAATTTTGGAAAAGTTTTGAGACTCGGTTGGTAAAGTTGAACGATGAGCCGAGCAATCAAGGGCTGAAGTGTAACTTTGGAAAATGCTTACTTTATGTGAAAATAACATATTTGGGTTAAAGACATTTTAATTTGGGCTTAATGTGAATTTTGGACTAGGCCCTCGAAAAGGCATATTTGGAATTTCAGGTTTATATTGCTCAGCATAATTGAGAGGGAAAATTACACAGCTCCAGGCATATAAGATTTACTGTGCAAAGGTCAGGTCCTAATGTTTTTTAATCATAATTCAGGTATTAGGTTAATAAATAAATATTATATCTTTTAATTATAGGTTTTAATTAAATAA